AAGCAGCCATCTAAGGTAGGCATCAAATAAGTCTACATGAAAGAAGCACACCAGCCTATGTGATCTGATTGCAATAAAATTCAAATCCAAAGAAGAGAATGAAATCAGAGCTTAAATTGTGAACACCTGGTTTGCAGAAGGCTCTGAATGGAAGTGGGAGCCCAAACCCCACTTGTGGGATCCACAGATGGAGTAAGCCTCCAGTGAATCCCCTCAGACCAATAGCGGAGGAATATGCACAGCCTCCTTATGACACAGAGAGCAGTGTACAGTTGATTATGGCAAATGTAGTTATGTTAAAATGCAATATCATTTGATAGGCCTTCTGACCTATTTTGAATTTATTCTAGTTTTTAATATCTTCTGCTTTCTTTTTGATTGAGGTTTTCTCTGGTCCACTTTGTTAATGTTGTTAATGTTGTTGCTGTTTTGTATGTTACTAGGTATATGAAATCCAGAATAGGTAGATCTACAAGGACAGTAACTGGATTAATAGTTTCTTGAGGTCATGACAGGGGAAGTTGGGGGAAACAGGGAGCTAATCATGAGTGCATGAAGGAAGAAAATGTTCTAAAATTGATTGCGGTGGTGATTGTACACATCTTCTTAATATGATTGAACTACTGAATTGTATACTATGTGAATTGTATGCCAGTAAAACTTTAAAAAGTAAAATAAAAAAACAAACCACACATACACATCATTCTTGTATTCTCTGCTTTCAGCCAAGATCCATCCAAGTCAGCAATGATATCCTTTTGACTCTGGTCTGAATTTCTGGCAACTCTTTGTCAAGGTACTACTACAACCATTGTTGAATGACCTTCAGCAAAATTTTACTTGCATGAGATATTAATGATATTGTTTCCCCCCAAATGGGAAAATGCTCCACCGGTCATTTTCCCCTGCTAGGTGAGCATCATGCAACTTGTTCTGAGTTAGTGCACCCAGTGGTGTCACCTGGGAAGGTTCTCTCTGGTCATAGTGAATTTTTTCATAAAAGCAGTTTCACTCAAACCTCGTTTTTTGTGATGGCCAATTTCAGAGAACAGTGTACAGCCATGAAATTTTGTTTCCTGCTCAGAAAAAATGCCACACAAAATGTTATGATGTTGAACACAGCTTATAAGGACAGCACTATGGGAAAAACTCAAGTGTACGAGTGGTTTTCTTTAGTTCATTCAGTTTAAGATTAGCTGAGCATGTTCTTCCTTTTTGGTTTCTAACTCTAGGTCTTTGCATATTTCATTGTAATACTGTACTTTGTCTCGTGCAGCTGCCCTCTGAAATTTTCTGTTCAGCTCTTTGACTTCATCTTTTCTTCTATTTGCCTTAGCTACGCTACAATTCATAGGAAGTTTCTGTCTATCCACTTGGGTTTGTTTCTTTCCTGTCTTTTTAGTGATCTTTTGCTTTCTTCATGAATGTTTATATTATATGCATATATAATTTTATTTGTAGCTAGGTCTTTTATCTTGAGTATGTAACGAAACATTGCTACCACCACCCACTGCAACCATCTTGCAGAAGGGTTAATACAAAGAATGTTATAGAGTGGAATGAACATCTGGAAGGATCAAAACCAACATTAACCAACAAAGAACACCTTTTTGTAAGCCATTGCAAAAATTTTTTTAAATCATTTTATTGGGGGCTCATACAGCTCTTATCACAATCCATACATATATCCATTGTGTCGAGCACATTTGTACATATGTTCTCATCATCATTTTCAAAACATTTTCTTTCTACTTGAGCCCTTGGTATCAGCTTCTCATTTCCCCCCCTCCCTGCCCTGTGCAAAAAATGTTCAAGTAAAAAAATTTAAAAAGAAAAGAGGAGGGGAGGGAGGCAACAGGATGTTCATTGAATACATTCCATTCTGGCTAGTGTGTCAACACGACAGACGTAGGACTACAACACAACCCCCCACTACAGTACCCTGTACACAGCTGTGTTCCAAGCCCACCCCCTCCCCAGATGTTTCCAACTCGCAACTATTTCCCAGCCTGTAGGTCCTGCCAACGAAGGAGCATGTAGCTCTTTTTTTGCAGGAAATTATAAAGGGCTGGGAGGATGGGGGGAGCTTAGCCGGCACAGACAAGAAGAGGCCAGAAGCATGGGCAAGACTAAGCTGAACGATTCCCATTCTGTCCTGACAAAATGGTAAGGAACCAGAGGTGGCTTTTACACAGAGATGTGATGTCGTGGGTGCCGTTTTGGAACGACTGATGCAGCAACCGCACAAAGACTGATCATTGAAAAGCCTGGTAGGGCTGGGAGACCAGTGGTAAAGTTCTTTTAATAATCCAGCAAAGAAAGGAGGAGCTTGAAAAGATATTTACCAGCTATTACTGGGAAGTAGAAAGCAGTGGTGGTTGAGTGGTAGGATTCTCGCCTTCCATCAAGAGATCCAGGTTCGAATCCCAGCAAGGCACTCAAACGCGTCACTGAAGGCTTGCCAAATGTGGCTATGATGCTGAACATGTTTCAGCGGAGCATCCAAACTCAGACAGACTAGAAGAAAGGCCTGAAAGACAAACTTCAAAAATCAGTCCATGAAGACGCTCTTAATCACAGTGATCCGATTACGTTGCGAATGGCGTCCCCAGGACTTGGGGGTCGACCCAAGGACAGCTAACAGAAATCACAATGAGAAGCGGAGAGAGGAGGGCCCATGCCCTGCAAGAAGCAACACTGTCACCCAGTCAGATGCACCCCATAGCAACCCTGCAGGTCCCCACGGGAGTTCTAAGGTGCACATCTTTAGGGAGCAGTGCCCTGCATCTTTCTTCGGAGGAATGCCTGGTGAGTTTCAGCTGCAACCCTCTCCGTTTGCAGCCCAGTGCTGCTCCACCAGGAATCCTTACAGTAGGAAACATGAAAGATCAACGTTTAGATGGGATCGAGGAGCAAAGACCACGATATCTTTCTGACTTTCCGTGCTTGAGGTGTCTCTAAGACACCCAGACATTCCCAAGAAGCTTCTGAATATGGGTGTGCATATTTATTTATTAAATCTTTCTTATTAAAACTTGCAAGACATCTGGGCTGCAGGTATATATGTGGGTGTCATCTGTTTGCATGCAGTAATTAAAACTGAGCGTGGATGGTCACCCTGAGCAAGTGTGGGGTCGGAAGATCTGTGGACAAGCGCAGAACCCCCGAGGACTCTGACTACATTCGCTCTAGAACCGGGTGTGAAGTTAGAAGCGGGTGAAGGCAAGGTTCTGCATATCGCCAAGATTTAGGGGGAGGAATGAACTGGTCAGAGATGGGCCAAAGTGTAGAAGAGATCAGGTCAAAGTCACTAGCATCAAACGCCACTGAGGTCAAGAAAGACAAGGAAAGGAAACGGAAGCTTTGGCCAATGCGGTCACAGTGCCATCGGTGGAGTGCTGGCAGTGAGATTTTCCGGAAGATGGAGTAACTTCTTCAGCTAGATTGCAGCTCGAGCCGCTGACGAGCGTAACATCCCCCAGCCTCCGGGGCTGCGCGGATTTCACGCGGACGCAGAGTCGCGCGTGCGCACTTTCGCAGGAAGGTCGCGTTGCCGGAAAGCAAAGCGCGCGCGCACTCGCCTCTGGGTCGAGCGTACTCCGCCCCTGGTCCCGCTCCAAGCCTGCAGAGGGCGCTGGACCTGCGAGAGCGAGCGGGCGCCGGGGCGTGGTGCCGCTCTAGCCTGTTCCGGGGCTCAGTGGCGGGCGCCGCAGCTCCGCGTCCCCCACGCCTCCCCTCCTCTCAGCGCAGGTGGGTCTGTCTGCCCGCGAGGAGCGGGAGTGCCTCCGAGCGTTGGGGCGGGCGGGAAGGGGCGCCCTCGCGTATGCAGAGAGGCCCCCATCGCCTAGCTGGTCGGGCTTCAGCTTCTTTGGCTCGGCGGTGGGCAGGACCGCTGGGTGGGAATCCGAGGCCAGGTGCGCTCCTCCTTCAGGGCGTGCAATGCTGGCTTCAGGACCCGTTTAAACCTTTGGAGGGGTGGGTCTCTGCCGCGGCCTGCGAACGGCTTCCGGGGACGGCTGGGGGCGGGGCTCATGGGGCGTGGCTCTCGTGATTGACACTCTCTCTTCCTAGGCTTCTTGGCGTGACCTCCAGACCCCTCTTTTCCTCGAACCCTGAGCCGGCAGCATGGTGAGAATCCTGAGCCCAGCCCCTTACCTCTGCTTGGCTGCACCCTCGGCTCCCCGCGGCCATGCCTCAGTTGCTCTGTAAGAGCGTGCCCCGCCCCCTCCCAGTGAGAGGGCCCACGGGTCTGCCCCTGCAAGGACAGCCTGCACCCGTATCCCATCCTTCCTGTAGCACGGTCGACTGAAGGTGAAGACGTCGGAGGAGCAGGCTGAAGCCAAAAGGCTAGAGCGGGAGCAGAAGCTGAAGCTATACCTGTCCGCCACCGAAGCCGTCTTACAGAAGGTGCGACTCTCCGGGAAGAGACCTAGGGTTGTACTCTAGCGTCAGACTGCTTGGATCCAAATCTGGGTTCTCACCTCGCTGGGTGACCGAGGGCAAGTGATGGAGGCTTTCTGGGCCTCAGTCCACTCATCTGCCAAATCTGAGTGAAGACAAAAAAATATGAGTGATGTGGAGATACTATGTGGTGATTTCAGTGGGTGAATCTCTGTGTACGTGCTGCCCAGTGTGCACCCACAGACACCACCCCCCACCCCCCCAGCAGTTCTGTCTGTCACTTAGTCCCTCTGAGAGAGTACCGTAAGATCTCTGACCTTGTCCCCTCCCTTCTCAGCGCCAGGCGGGCCAGCTGGATGAGTCGGTGCTGGAGTTAACGAGTCAGATTCTGGGAGCCAACCCCGACTTCGCCACCCTCTGGAACTGCCGACGACAGGTGTTCCAGAAGCTGGAAGCCCAGAAGTGTGTAGAGGTTCAGGGCCTCCCTCCCTGGCCCAGGTCGACCCCTGCCCTGCCTGTGTCCAGGGATGGCGGGAGGAATGGGGCAGCCAGGGGCATAGGCAGAGGGAAGTGGGGGGCTGGGTACAGTCTGATAGGAGGGAGGGGGAGCTAAGCATTGGGTGTTGGATGGCCTTGACCCCTTGCTCCCCATTGGGTACAGGTCCCCAGAGGACTTGGCTGCTCTGGTAAAGGCTGAGCTGGGCTTCCTGGAGAGCTGCCTGCGGGTGAACCCCAAGTCCTATGGCACCTGGCACCACCGCTGCTGGCTGCTGAGCCGCCAGCCTGAGCCCAACTGGTCCCGGGAGCTGGAGCTGTGTGCCCGCTTCCTCGAGGCGGATGAGCGGAACTGTATGTGCCTGTGGACTCTTGTGTCCAGTCCCACCCCAACCCTCCACTGGCCCCATACCCTGATCCTGCAACCTCAGTGGGCCCCAGAGTGGGAGGGATGCCCACAGCAGTGGGGGGGCCAAATGCATCTCCCAGGGAGTGGATAGAGGTGTTTCTGGGGGTGCAGTCAAGGAGCTTCCCTTGCTCTGCTTCTGAGCTGTGCCCTCCTCCATGCCAGTCCACTGCTGGGATTACCGGCGGTTTGTGGCTGCCCAGGCAGTTGTGCCCCCTGCAGAGGAACTAGCCTTCACTGACCACCTCATCACCCGAAACTTCTCCAACTACTCCTCCTGGCACTACCGCTCCTGCCTCCTGCCCCAGCTGCACCCCCAGCCAGACTGTGGACCCCAAGGGCGCCTTCCTGAGGATGTGCTGCTCAAAGGTAGGCAGTGTGGTGGGGGGTGGGGGGGAGCCCGGCCACCGCTCTGCATCTGCCCTCCCCACCACTCTCCTTGACCCTGCTCCTGTCAGTTCAGTTCATTGAGCATGTACTCCGTCCTGCCTGCCTTGGGCATCCACAGGGCCAGAAAGCCCTTGGCTGCAGGGAGCTCAGTGCAAACGGGCAGATAAAATTGGCCTTCGCAGCCTCTGTGCAAGGCCAGTGTAGACGTGAGACTGTGGGCTGGAGGCACTGCCAGGAGAAGGCATGGAGAGTGCGTGTGAGGGTGGCCAGAGCCTGTCTGACCACAGCCCACATCCCTCCGTGGCCTTGGCAGAGTTGGAGCTGGTGCAGAACGCCTTCTTCACGGACCCCAATGACCAGAGTGCCTGGTTCTACCACCGCTGGCTCCTGGGCCGAGGTGAGCCCCAGGGGAAGGGATGGAGCTTTGGGAGGCATAGAAGAGGCTCTGAGGAGACCTGAGGCCGTCTCCCGCCCTAGCTGACCCCCAGGATGCCCTGCGCTGCTTGCACGTGAGCCGGGATGAGGCCTGTCTGACTGTTTTGTTCTCTCGGCGTCTCCTCGTGAGTACAGTACTGCGCTTTTCGCCAGCCAGGGAACCTCCTGGGGCTGCGGGCCTGGCCACTATTGAAACTGACGGGTCCGCCTTTGTCCCCGGCCAGGTGGGACCCGGGATGGAGACCTTGCTGCTCATGGTTGATGAGTCTCCCCTGGCTGTGGAGTGGAGGACCCCGGATGGCAGGAACCAGCACAGCCACGTCTGGGCATCCTAAGATTGGTGGAGCCGACCTGGGGGAGGCACTGGGAGACTGGGGCTGGGCTGGGGTAGGGGAGGATGGTCAGAAATGTGGTGAGGCCAGGGTATCTCCTTAACTCGGTGAACTCAGTTCTGTGACCTGCCTGCCGCCTCCCTCCACGACCAGTTGCCCCAGCACACGTTCCGTGTCATTTGGACGGCAGGCAA